GATTGGTGAACGAGCCAAGAAAATCACTGGCATAAGAAAAGAGCTTTGCCATGAGAAACAAGGGGAAGGTGGAACGGGCCACTCAATTGTCACACCCTGTTTTGGTACCCAAGGAGACAGATGAAAAAACAAGATTATACGATAAAGAATGGCCAGCAAAGAAGAGATTAGTGCTACCATTAAAGCCAGGGGCAGGTATGGAACTCAGCTGATGGCAGGGCTGCTGTTTTATCTGCCTGGGGAACCAGCCTGAGCTGAGTAATTCCAAACTGCAAAGCTGCAATTACAGTGAAAGCATAAACAAGCCAGAAGAGCAGTGCTAGGGAGGGTCCAACCACTGCAGGAGGGAGAGGAAAGATCCAGATCCAGATCCAGGTGGTGTTTGAAGCAAAGGGAGATGTGGGAGCTGTGCTGCACCCCGGAGAAAAACGGGCTGTGATCCACCAGCAAACTGAGCCCCGAAAACAGGAGGGCTCCCAACTCCTGCCTGGAACTGCACACCTGGCCAGGGCTAGGGAGGGATCACAGGAGGTTTGGGTTGGAAGGGATTTCAAGGATCATCCATCCCACCCCTGCCATGGGCAGGGACACCTTCCACCAGCCCAGGGTGCTCCAAGCCCCGGCCAACCTGGCCTTGGACACTTCCAGGGATCCAGGGGCAGTCACAGCTTCTCTGGGAATTCCATCCCAGCCCCATACCACACTCAGAGGGGGAAATTCCTTCCCAATATCCCATCTATCCCTGCCCTCTGGCAGTGGGAAGCCATTCCCTGTGTCCTGTCCCTCCATCCCTTGTCCCCAGTCCCTCTCCAGCTCTCCTGGAGCCCCTTCAGGCCCTGCAAGGGGCTCTCAGATCTCCCTGGATCCTTCCCTTCTCCAGGTGAACCCCCCCAGCTGTCCCAGCCTGGCTCCAGCCCCTGGATCATCTCCATGGCCTCCTCTGGACTCACTCCAACAGATCCAGCTCTCGTGTTGGGGTTCTCAGGGCTGGATCAACTTAGGGACAGGTGGACACAGGGCAGGGACAGAGAGGGTTCTGTAACTACAACAGCACCATTTTCCCCAAGGTGGAACAAGAAACAACTGGGAGAACTCCCCATCTCCTGCCCATGACACCCTTTTGTGTTTCCATCAAACACTGAGAGGGCACAAAGGCAGGAGACTGTTCTAGAAACTCCTTTGGGAACAGCAAGAAAAACCACAGCAGGCAAAGCCACCAAAAATAGGATTGGGGGAAGTGATCAAAAGTGACTCAGTCTGAATTAAAAATAACAGCCCATCCCCAAAACAGATCTTTAATGAGCATTTTGATGGTGGGTAAGCCCAGGGAACAGCAACTTCACCTGATGGGAACAGGACTCCTGGGGACCTGCATGCAGAGGAAGCAGCAACTTCTCAAGTCAAAGTGATGCCAGCATCTCTTCTGGCCCCAAAATCACCTCTTTTCCCCCCCTCAAAGAATCTGAATCCTACAATGTCTCTTTATTTTTAACTCAACATTTAAGATCAAAGGAAAACATGGAAGAAACGGAGCCAGAATCCAAGTACCCCCTCAATACCAAGTCACAGTTAAATTAACACCTCAGCCTCAACACTGAACTTGGCTGGATTTCATCCACTTTGGAGAGCTGAGAGTCTTGAAGGGGTCTTTGAAGTCTGAGATAAACAGCAACCCAAGCCACCAAGATTCAGGGCACTTTCGAGGGTTTATTGCTGGAAATAATTCAAATATAACTGGCCACAAATTCATGGAACCACACAATGATTTGGGTTGGGAGGGACCTTAAAGATCATCTCATTCCACCCCCTGCCATTGGCAGGGACACCTTCCACTAGCCCAGGTAGCTCCAAGCCCTGTCCAACCCTGGATACTTCCATGGACTTCAATGGTCTCTAAACAACTATTATATACATATAATATATAATATATAATATAAAATATAATATGGACTCCTGATCTCCAAATTCTACTTATCAGAAGTACCAAGCTTATCAAAACTACAACTTCACAACTTCAGATGTGAACAGACTTCATCAAGTTTAATTTATATATGTCATTAAGCTCAAATAATTAAGAGCAGGGGAAAAAAACCCCAAACCCAAACAAAAAGATGTGGAGGGAGTTCTTTTCAAACACTCTTTTCTCCCCAGCCTTGGAAATGCACACAGACTCCTCTCCCTGAGGACACTGGGAGGGGACACCTGGTTGCAATTTGCCACTTCAGGGCATCGATTCCTGTCCCCAAAGCAACAACCTGCCAGTTTTAAGGCACCCTGAACTTCTGGTGACTTCTCTTCCCACAGGGAATAGAGTCATGGGATGTCCTGAGCTGGAGGAACCCCCAAGGATCCAAGCCCTTGGCCCTGCCCAGGACACCCCGACAATCCCGCCCTGTCCAAACGCTCCTGGAGCTGGGGGGGAAGAGCCTTGTCCTCAAATGCCACACAGAACATGTGCAGGCAGCTCCCAGCTGGCACAGGTGCTCCCAGTCCAGTTCCTTTGGGAATGTCATGGTTCAACCCTGAGCAGCAGTGAAGCCCCACACAGCCATTCCCTCCCTCCCCACCCAGTGGGAGCAGGGAGAAAATCCCCAGAGGAGAATGAGAAGGCCGAGGTTGAGATGTTGGTGCTGTAATGGGGGAAGCAACAGCCAGGCAGAGGAAAACAAGGAATTCAGCCCCCACTGCCCACGGGCATCCCAGCAGAGCAGGGACTGGAGGACAAACACCATCACTGCAGACATCCCCCCTCCCCTCCTCCTTCCCCAGCACGACACCACAGGGCTTGGGATGTCCCTTGGGATCACCTGTGCCACCTCTGCCCCCTCCCAGCTCCGTGGGCACCCCTGGGGTTGGAAAAGCCCTCCCAGCCCATGGATCCCCCTGTGCCCCATCCCCACCTTGTCCCCCAGCCCAGAGCACTGAGTGCCACGGCCAGGCCTGCCTTGGACACCTCCAGGGCTGGGCACTCCAAACCTCCCTGGGCAGCCCCTGCCAAGGCCTCACCACCCTTGCCAGCAACAAATTCCTCCTCCTGGCCAACCTGAGCCTCCCCTGGCACAGCTGGAGGCCGTTCCCTCTCCTCCTGTCCCTGTTCCCTGGGAGCAGAGCCCGACCCCCCCCGGCTCCCCCCTCCTGGCAGGGATTGCAGAGCCAGAAGGTCCCCCCTGAGCCTCCTTTTCTCCAGGCTGAGCCCCCCCAGCTCCCTCAGCCCCTCCTGCTGCTCCAGCCCCTTCCCAGCTCCAGGTACTCCCATCCTGAACATCCCCAATGCTACAGAAGAACAGTCAGGACTAACAAAAAGCTGAACATGGTTAAGAAAACCTTTCCAAAGCCTGTCCCAAGGACCATAACCACGACTTTTAAATCCTCTCAGTCTTGCAGGTCATGAACTCTCCTTGCCTCTGACCCAGAGGAGCGTTTAAGGTGCAAGTCACGCTGTTTTCACCAACTGATGTGCAAAATGAAGAGGGAACCTTGGCAATTTCTTGCCCAAATTCTGCAATAAATACACTGGGATACACAAAACTAACACATAAAGTACTTTCAGGGTTCAGGTTAAGTATTAAAAATAGTTGTTGACAAATGCAAGGGTTACAAACACCACGACCATGAAAGTCAAATTATTGCCTTCTCCTGTCATGAACACCTCAAAAAACACCTCAGAAACCCCCAGACACCTCAAATATAAAGCCCCAAAACATAAAAAAAAAAAAAAGCGGCAAATCAAGTACAACCTGATGAAATGTGAAGAAAGCAAGCCCAGAGATGAAACCTCCTAGTTTGTTCCCTTTCCCAGCACCAGAACACCCACAGGGGGCAAACTGGGAAAGCCACATCCAAGGAGGGGGAATCCACCTCAGGGTGGATTCATTCCCACCATCTCCAGGGTGGTTCCTCCAGTGAACCCTCCCAAGGAGTGACTGGAGCTGCCCACAACCCACCTGGGCCAGAACTCCCCACCCAAAGAAACGTTACAGCCTCGAACAGCAGGAAATTTTGGGACTGAGGGAGCGCCTGCCAACACAAACACAACCAGCTGGTGACAAAGAGGCTCCTTGAACCTCTTTTCAAATCACTGAAATGGGAATCTGCTGAGCAAACACCTAATAGACTAATTAAACAACCCATTAATTAACAGCTCACTAATGAAAACACGGGAGTCCCACTCCCTCCTGGAAATCACAAATCCAAGTGAGGATTTGTTTTTGCAGGTAGGAGAGTGCTGCTTTCTCCTCCCCAATCCAAAGCTTCCTCTCCAAAAAATGTTCTTTATCCACTCCTAGAAACAAACAACAGCAAAACTTCCCATTTTTTCTTTTCCAGCCCATCAGCAAGAGAAGAGAATACAAGAATAGTTTTGATTAATGCAGGTAAAAATCTGAGTGTGGATCCTTCTCACAGGCTTGGCCAACATCCCATCTCCAGAAGAGCATCTTGTTCCCCAATCCACAGGTGATTTAGCACCACCTCTCCACTGGACAAGGAAAAAGTCGTGATTCCCACGTTTTCCAAGTTGAAATATGGCCTTACAGGGGCCAGGGATGAGAGGGAGGATAAACTGGAAATACTTCAGGACACTCCATGATCCCATCAGAAGGTGCTTGTCGCACTCAAGAACTGGGTAAAGAGCAGCTGGACTGGGCAGTTAAAGGAAGAAAACCCCCAAATAAGCATAATTTTGCCCCAAAATCAACCAAAGTCCTCTCCTAGAGGTGGCTCTCCCGTGTTTGGTGCCCTGCCAGCCCCCCCAGGAGCTCCAGGCCACGGAATTCCATCCCAGCCCATCCCACTCCCACCTTCCCCCATGAGCTGATCCCGAATTATTTGGATTTCAGATCCTAAAGCTCTTCCTGCAGTTCTCAAGAATCCACTTTGGGTTTGCCCTCCCTGGAATCTCGGGGCAAAGCAAGGAAGCCTCTCCACACCCAGGGATGAAGAACACTCCACAGCAGCTCCACCAATCTCTGTTCTGGGGGGTTGGTTGGTCGCTTGGGGGGTTTTTTGGTTGGTTTTTGTCTCTATTTTTATTGAAACTTTGTACAGAAGTTTGAAACATTTCCATACAATACTTTTGGACAGGACAAAAATGCCATGGTAAAGGAATGTAAACTGCAAGAACACAGTCTGAAGTATCCAAATACTCTCTAATAAGAGTTTTTTAGTTTGAAGACTAATGCAGGAGGCAAAATAATATGCATACAGGATACAAAGAACAGTATACACAGGGCCAGCAATGCTAACTAGGAGAATTTTGCATCAGATTTACTTCAAAGATTGATAGCAATATGAGAATTCTATACACTAGACCAAAATTAATTTATCATACATCGTTTCTATGACAAAAAGCTTGTCATTAAGGACAGTAGCAACTTACAATATAATTAAGCTGTATTAATCTCATTAACACTTCTAAATCTATATTCCTACTACAGTAAATTTTTTGTTTTTCAGTATATTTGCCTTATAAGATCTTAACAGACCTTTTAAATAACACTTTACCAAAAGAGACCTGGCTCCATTATAGTGATCTTTATCTACATGCCCATTTGGCTTCTTTATTTCAAATAAAACAAGGGCCAAGGAAAAAAGGCAGGTTTCAAATGCTATATGATATCATTTGGTTTTGGTCTGAAATGTATTTTTAGTTGAAGAGTTTAATTAAAAAAAAAAAACCAAAAAAAACCCAAAACACAAAAACACAAAAACACAAAAAAAAAAACACAGGGAAAAAAAAAGGCAGTTCATTAACTGCTATTTTATATAAAAATCCAACAGCAATAAAACCCAAAACTACTTCACAGATCCCTTAAAAAAAAACAAAACAACATTCTATCAGAGCTACAAGGTAAAGCAGCATCACTCTGACACCGTGCTCGGAAAAAGAAGAAGATGAATGAAGAGACTGCTCGAGGGAGATTAGAAAATTTCGCTCTCTTCTCGAAGAAGACTACTAAACATTTTGCACAGCAACTATTTGTTTATAATCACCACCTCATTTGGAAACGTGGAATTCAGAGACACAGAGAATTGGATCAGTGGTTCTGCTCCGCCTGTGACGTCACACAGGGGAGCCGAGAGTGCCGAGTGTCATCAGGTGTCACCAGACAGGGAGTTCCAGATCAGAACAGAAGCGAAGCCTTTAAACCAACACCAGAAAAAAAAAAAAAAAGAAAAAAAAAAGAAGAAAAAAAAAAGGAATCCGAGTGTTTTGTAAGCAAAACAAACCACTTTGCCAAAACAAAAACAAAACAAAACACTCCAAAAAAACAACCAAGAGTTCAGAGATCTCACAGTGAAATCAGAAATCCTAATTATATATGTTTACATTCTAGGACTACTCTTTACCTCAGGCCAATTAAAGCACATTAAACCATTGAATTATATACAAACATTTTCTCTTTTTTTTTTTTCCTTTTTTTTTTTATATTAAAAAAAAAAATGAAAACATTGCACAGAAATCTGCTTTTTAACATCACATGACAAGGTTAGTTTTTCTTTTCAAAACAAGTACATTTAAGGGCACAGAACATACAGAATATACCAAATGAACAGATGAGTAATTCTGCTTTGCTGTACATGCTAAATCCAAAGATTTCCTCAAAAAAGCTGGAGCTCCACACAGCTCCAGCTTCTTCCATGTATCCTGTTCTCTGAAAGGGAGCACCTCCCAACACCTCCTCTATCTTAGGATTTAAAAAAATAGATATATAAAAAAAATAAAGCTGTTTTAAAGTTGAAAGCATCTTCTCAGCCCCTCGGGTGGCTCTGCCCTCTGCACTGGGACCCAGAGGGAGTTCAGCTCACGCCTCAGTCCCAGCGCTCGTCCCTCATCAGAAGTCTCATGTTGGCCCTTCTGGGATCAGGCAACACAGGAGAGAAGTAAAAATACACAATACAATATATACTGAAGGCCATTTTTTTTTTATTTCTTACAGTCTCCCACTGTTTTCCTTCTAGGAAAAGCTACCAGGAAAAATTACAAAAAACGACAACAAAGGAAAACACCCCTAAACTTTGGCAGAGAAAAGCATCAAATCAGTTATTTAAAAAACTTAAATAAGAACAATCTCCCAAAATTCACTATTAAGCTCTCAAGAAGCCCTTTCCTTTTTTTTTTTCTTTTAAATTTTTTTTAATTTTTTTTTTTTTTTAAATAAAAGGCTTCGACCATTTCTGGGAGAAAATTCAAATATCTTAAAAGAAGAAAAATAAGTTAAGGGAAATATCAAGAAAAAAAAAAGAAAAAAGAAGCTGTCATTCCAAAAAAAATCAGTTTTTCCAGCCTGTCATTCTCAGCTCAAGGCAATAAATAAACCACGATAAAAGCAAGTGTCCTCCTGGATCTCCTCCTGCACCACCAACCAGTCCCACCAGAGAGGAGGATGAGGAGGAGGCCACGAAATTTATGGAACTGATTGTCCATTCTGGGAAACACTTTGGAATTTTACCAGCCCCCCAAAAAATGGGTGTTTCAACCCAAATTCCTCAACACCTCCCATGACTAGCAAAGGCATGTTTACGCTATAAAAAAATCCTCAAGCGACTTCTCCCAAGGTCCATAACACAGGGTGAGGTACCAAAAGGCAGCTTGCTTGAAGCCTTATAAATATATCTATTTTTTTTTAATAATAAAGGCCTTTTATTAAGTGGTTATTTGCAGCAAAGAACATCAGCAAGTTCTACGACCTCTACGCCACGAAAACAGAAATAAAATCACATTTTTAAATGTGAAAAAAAAACAAAACCAAAAACAAACTACCCATAAAAAAACAACCCCGGAGAAATAATTCGCTTAAAAGCTTCTTCACAAGAACAGGTCCAAAGATTGTGGGGAGGGAGGGGGTGGGGATGCAGAGTTATTAATTTATTAAGTAATAAATAGGCTTCCTGCCAATTCTGACCGCGATTAATGTGGCAACTCGTTCGTTCGGGAAGCGGGAATGTTTGAGCTGGGAGATGGAGCATCTCCCATCAGTGAAGGGCTTGACTCCCTCCCGCCCCGTTCCAGTGAACGGGACACCTGGGAATCAACGACCCCCTTAAACAGCAAATCATCCGGGCAAGGCCAAGAGGAGCTGGAAGGAGCAGGGAAAAGCCACCGGCAGCAAAGCCCTCCGCGCGGGCGGCCGCAACAGCCGCGCCCTCCGCTCCCCAACCTTTTTTAAGGCACCCTGGGAAAAAAAAAATAGAGCAAGCACAGGTGAGGCGATGGCAGCCAAGCCAAAGGGTCCCTGAGCAAACCTGGCTCAGCAGGTTGTGGCAAAGCGTTGGTTAATCCTGGGAGCGGAGAGGAGCGGCCTGGAAAAGCCACCAGCACCAGCCGCTCCTCCAGACACGCCAAGTTCCTAAGGGACAGTGCCTGGCACACGAGGCTGTTTCCCTGGGCCAGAGGAGGTGGGTTGGTTTTGTTTTTTTTTTAAGCCACATCCCGGCCTTTTCAAGAAGAGATTGTTGGACTGAGATTGTCTTTGCCCTCCACGAGATGTTGTTTCTCGTCCCCGCTACGAGATCGAACGTTGCCCGACGTTGATTTATCCGCTAGGTTAAAAAAAATCCACGTATTTTGTACGTCTTCTCATCCTTCCCAACTCGGCCCACTAATGAAGTTGGCTTGAGATGCCATTAATTCACACACCCTTTTTAATTTTTGCCACTAAAAAGCAGTTGAAATAATTTCCTGAATGAAACCAGCCACACAAAATCGTAAGAAGATGTGCTTTGTCACACCGGTACCGACATCCAGATCAGGTGTGGCGACTCTTCCTACACACATTGCAACAACATTCCAACTTCTCCACCTCAGAGCAGTCGACTTCCCAGCAGCAACAACTAAACCAAGTGGAGGCAAGTGGGGCATCTCAGCCTCTGTTTAGAGTTTCGGAATGAATGAGACTCAGCCGATATAAAAACACCACCAAAACTAAGAGGAAAAAAAAACCAGCCACGAGAATGGAAGTGAACCATTTCATCTGCAAACAGATCCATGATCTACTCAGTGTGGACGGGTTACGGCACTCAAAGGCAGGATTAACCCAAAGGTCACCTCTACAAACTGATTCCTTAGGAACTGGTTCCCATTTACGTGCCAAGGAAACGTGGCTGGACCCTGGAACTGATTCTGCCGAACACTCAGATGGTCCCTCAGACCGTTTTTGGCCCAGCCGGTTTTGTTCTCTCCCGAGTCCTGAACGAGCTCGGAAGCAAAGACAACTGGAGGAATTATTTCCATGGAAAGCCTGGATATGACCACTGTGTCCTGGAGTTGTGAGGGGGATTAATACTGGAAGGGCAGCCACAAACTGTCAGCTCTGCACCCAAAAACAGGCCCGAGGGGGATGTGGACCGAGCTCTGCTACCTTCAGGTCTGCTGAGCTCCACGTGCTGCACACCTGGGAATTGCTCATCATCCTTCAGCAGGGAAGATCCTCAGCACCTGGAGACCTACTAATTGCCTGGGAGAGGTGAACTTTTTTGGAAGAATCACGAGGGCAGACCTCGATTCCCGACACAGATTGCGGTGGCACACGTTCCCTATCTCCTGACACGGAATCCCTCGGGAGCTGTGCTGAGGAGGGAGCTTTAGGCTGGAAGGATTAGGAGGAATTTCTTCACAGAAAAGGCCATCAGATAGTGGAGTGGGCTGCCCAGGGAGGTGGAATCACCACCCCTGGAGGTGCTGAAGGTGAGATTGGATGTGGCACTCAGTGCTCTGGTCAGGTTGATGAGGTGGTGTTGGGTCACAGGTTGGATTCCAGCTCAGAGGTCTTTTCCAACCTCAATCATTCTGTGATTCCTCACACAAAAAATAAAGGAGGCTTGACAGGGGGAAAGGGGAAATGGGAGAAAACATGAGGCAAGAGGGCTCTGGAAAATAAGGAGCACTTTCACCTCTCTCCCCCACTTCCCCTTCCTCTTTTCTCCCCTCAGACTCCATCTGCAGCAGCGTCAGCTGGGGACAGACTCCTTCCACTCATTCACAGCAGAGGAAAACAGTCCTTTCCCAGTGTGGAAAACAAACTGACAGCACACAAAGCCTCACGTGTCTTTTCTTCCCAAGTGGTAGAACATACAAACAGATTTTTTCCCTAAAAAGAGCCTAACCCTGTCTCCTAAAGGGTCAGAGACTGAGGAGGCTGAAATTATCTTCTTGGTGAAGATATCCCAGTTTGACCTCAACAGGAGGAAGAACATCCTTCCATGGAGGTGGCAGAGCACAGGACCAGCTGCCCAGGGAGGCTGTGGAGACATTCCAACCCCACCTGGACACGTTCCTGTGTCTCCTGCTCCAGGTGACCCTGCCTGGGCAGAGCGATGGACTGGGTGATCTCCAGATTTCCCTTCTCACCCTGCTGAATACAAAACCCAAGTAAATACTATTTGTTTTTCCTTCTCCTCCAGTGACAGTTTGTCATGTCCAGGCTTTCTTTTTGGTTTGTTGTTTCTTTTTTCCCTTTTTTTTTTTTTTTTAAATACAGCGATTTTTCAGTACTGGAATTTACAGTGGATAAAAAAAAATTAAATCAAAAGACACAACTTCTCTTACAAAGAAAAATAAAAACAGAAAGCTACTAACAACTATCATGTTTTAAGTGCTATGAAATGAGACAAAATAACTCCCTGTTGATGCCATAAGAGAAATGAGAAATTGAATTAAAAAAAAAATAAAAATAAACCCAAGTGAAAGCAGTGAGCAAAATTAAGAAGTGCTAAGTTGGCCAAGGTAATACAGTTATTTTACAGGATGTGCATCGCAGCTCTACATTTAAAAACCTTTTGACACAGCTTTAATCATTTAGATTTTCCACACTGGTAAATGATTACTCGTTATCTTAATGCTGACTGAGCTGGAACTGCCTGACTTCAAACACAGCCACCTGCCTGCCTTTGGTATATTTATACACGTAAAAACAGAAGGTTAGTACTGCAAATGGAACAGCAACAAAAAAAAAATGACACAAAAGGGAATAAAAAAGAAAAAGCCACCACAGGACAGGTTCTGCTTTGAGCAGAGAGAGGACAAACACGTCTCCAATGGTCTGGAAATAGGCTAAAGCTGAGTTGATCTTACAATTATAGCGTAAACAATGCCTGGGTTGTGGTTATGTTGTTTGAAATTCAAAAAAAAAAAAAAGAAAAGGAAAAATAAAACCAATCTCCAGAGACCTGTATCAACTTCTGTATGTTCAGCCATACCCTTAAAAGTTCACTATTCACTCACAAAGAGAAGTAGACAAACATGAATATTCCAAGCGAACACACACAGACCAGTCCAGTATTTAGTAATAGTTTAACTTTTGGAGTCTCTTCCAGCATTTGTAAACAAACAGTCTCTTCCTCGACCTCCCGAACAGCTCTCTTGGTCATGGTTTTACTTTTAAAGCCACAGAACCAATCTATGAATTTCAAGTGTCTCTCCGTGTCCTCAGTCTCCTCCTCGTGCTTCTTCTCCCCCATCAAAGCCGCCTGGCCGTTGGAGTAACAATCCACCGGCGTCTCGACCTCGGAGTGGCTCACCGAGATCACCGGGTTGCTGTCGTCTCGGCAGGTCACCAGCAGGTTGATGTCCTCCGGCTTGAGGTTCTTCAGGTTCTCCTCGGACTTGCCGTTGGGGATGATGTGGTTGGCGTTCTCGTTGCACTTGAGGATGCTCTTCTCCTGCGCCTTGTACAGCTCCCCCTTGGCCGCCGTCTCCTGCACGCTCCGGTTCTTCACGGCCCAGAAGGTGGTGGTCCGGACCTGCTCCTTGGTGGGCGGAGGGGTGAGGAGACTGACCACGAAGGTCACGATGCCGGTGATCCAGAACAGGGCCGTGGCCACGTACATGTAGTGGATGTTTTTGATGAAGGCCGGCCTCGTGTCGGGCTGGTCGCACTCCGGAGCGCGGTAAATAAAGGCCAGTATCAAGCGGATGGCGCCGAGCACGAAGCCGGCCATGCCGCCGTAGAAAGCCCCCTGCTCGTTGCAGCGCTTCCAAAAGATCCCCATGAGGAACAGAGCGGCCACCGGCGGGGTCAGGTAGTCCGCGACCTCCTGGATGTACAGGTACATCTGCCCGCCCTGCATCTCCACGATGATGGGCACCCAGGCGATGCTGATCACCACCATGAACGCCACGAAGACCCTCCCCACGATCATGAGCTCCCGGGACGTGGCGCTCTTCCGGATGAGCTTGTAGACGTCGAGCGTGAAGATGGTGCTGGCGCTGTTGAAGATGGAGTCCAGGTCGCTCATGAGCGCGGCGATCATCACGGCCATCATGAGGCCCCGCAGCCCCACCGGCACCAGCTTCATCACCAGGCGCGGGTAGGCGATGTTGGAGCAGCCGGCCCTGCTCCCGCACACCTGGAAGCAGTGCTCGGGGTTGATGCAGGCGATGTCGTCCGCGAACAGGATGCGGGAAATCATCCCCGGGACGACGATAATGAACATGGGCAGCAGCTTCAGGAACCCCGCCATCAGGGTGGAGCCTTTGGCGTGGGCGATGTTCTTGGCGGCCAACACCCTCTGCACGATGACCTGGTCGGCGCACCAGTACCAGACGGATGCCGGGGTCTGTCCCAGCAGGAACCCGGGCCAGGGAATGTCTTCGTCCGTCGGCTCGCGCAGCATTTTGAGAGCGTCGGGCTTCGGGTCGACGTTGCAGGAGTTGGTGTTGGAAATGTTGTAGGTCAGCAGGATGGACGTGATGTTCGGTGCCGCCAGCATGTACCTCCTCTTCACTTCTTCAAACCCACCGACCTCCGTGATGCTTATGATCATGAGCGTGAGGGCACCGATGATCATAAGCAGGGCCTGAAGGGTGTCTGTGTAGATGACGGCCACCAGCCCTCCGGTCACGGTCAGGAGCGCGGTCATTCCGATGAGCAGGATAACCGACAGGTAGAGGTTCCAACCTAGCGACTCTTGGATAAAAAGCGCCCCCGAATACAAGTCAACCGAGAGCTTGGTGAAGATATAAAGAATTAGAGACAACGCTGCAAAATAGATTTGAATCCTATGCCCTCCGAAACGCTTGGACAAGTATTCGGGCATGGTGTACACTCCCGACCGGATGTAGACGGGGACGAAGACCCATCCCAAAAGCTGCAAAAGCATTAAGGCGTTGAACTCCCACGCGCCCACGGCAAATCCGCTCGCCGCTCCAGATCCTGCGAGCCCAATGAAATGTTCACTTCCAATATTGCTCACAAACAAAGAGGCACCGATCGCTACCCAGGTCATAGAACGCCCTGCCAAAAAGTAGCCACTCACGGTGCTCCGATTGTACTTCCACATGGCAAAGAACCCTATGCACATGACCAGCACGAAGTACAGGGCCACAATGGCAATGTCTGCTGTCTCCAGAGCAGCCCTCATGTTTGTAACCGGCTGGCGTCCACTTCTCGCCCCCCAGCCAACGTCTCTTAAGCAACACGTGAACCAGTTAACCAAATATCAACACTGCGGCTCAAATTCTTTGTCCCTTGGTTTGCTGTCCTGATGCTGGTGGCAGTGGTACATTTACTTTCTCCGCTTCTCAACTGGGAATTTGGAACTTAGCACGCACTTTTAATCCACATTCCACAAGAGCATCAGCCTTAACTCAGTTGATGTAGGAGAAATTCTTAGTTGCAGCTAAGTTTAGTGAGGCCTACTGTACCAACCCTGCAAGGCAGCAAAGACAAAAGACAAAGATTGAATTAGAGAGGAATTTCACGAAGTAATGAGAAAAAATTTGAAGTGTAGTAAAACAATGACCGAACAGCACAGATTTTTTTTTTTTCCCCCTTTTTATACTTCCTGCCGTTATTTACGCAGTTCCGTAACGGGCACCGTTCGATATCTGCAGAACCAAACAGCAAAGCCCTTCACGGGGCAACGTCAGGGGTTACAGGAACCTTCGGAGACGCAGCAGTTTGGGAGGAGCGAAGGGCCCAGATTCCCCAGAGCGAGGCAAGGAACACAAATACATTTTATTTCGTGTTACTTCAGTGTCTCACGGGTCTAGTTCTGGAGCCACTGAACGGGTCTTCCTCTTTCAAGCAATCTTAGGAAAATAAAATGAAAATAAACCCAACGAATAACAGCCCCTACGGAGCTCAGACCTGGCCAGTCATTCCCTGTATGGCTCTAGCACTGCATCCCACAAATCCTGACAAGATCCTGGCAACACATGGATGCACTGGCTGCTAGAGCTAAAAAAAAAAAAAAATTATAAAAAAATCAAAGTGAAGTCAGAACACTGTCAAAAAACAACAGAAATTTAAAATCAGCTGGAGAATCGAGGTTGTTCCACAGGTTTGAGGTGAGTTTTGGGGTACAGATAATCACAGGGTTACATTTGACTTGGAAACTTCTTCCTACGTGTCCCATGGGATTCAAGGGAAGGAAAAGTCCCGTTCAAGCAAGTGGCAGAAGCCAAACTCTGCCTGACATCCCACTTTAGGTAGTTCTGTTGGGACTGTGGCTTTGGATTTTCTGGGAGCACCCCAGGCACGGGAGGGAACACACTGGATGGATTTTGGTAGCAGTTGGATGTCCCCAGCATCCGTCTGCATCCAACCACGGAGAGGTTCACCACCGTCACAGGGAGAAGGTGTGGAGGCAAGGCATCCCCTGTTCCTCTCTTCCTGGGACCCAAATCCCCCCTGACATTATCCCAAAGAATGTCAGGAACAAAATCCATTGAGGCAAGCGGGACTGAAGAGCTGGAAGTGGAGGGGACAATAAAGACGTGCTGGCAGGGCTGGACAGGTGGGAGAGGAAGGGGCACTGAAGGACACGCTGGCTCCAACCTCTGTCCTGGAGATGGGGTGTTCCCATCTCCTGTTTGTGCCTTGGGAGGTATCACAGAATCATGGAATGGTTTGGGTTGGAAGGGATCTTAAAGACCATCCAGTTCCAGCCCAACACCTTCCACTAGCCCAGGTTGCTCCAGCCTGGCCTTGGACACTTCCAGGCATCCAGGGGCAGCCACAGCTTCTCTGCCCAACCTGTGCCAGGGCCTCATTTCCCAAGCCAAACCCCTCTGATGGGTTTGGGGAGGGCTGGATATGGGATCCTTCCATTTCCTACACCAGGGAAAGGGAAGGGGACACCAAAGCACAGATCAGGCTTAGTCTGAAGATCAGAACAACAAACCCTGAGTAGAGACCTGCAGGAGTAAACCCTGCAGAGAACAAGGAACAGGGTCAAAGTCCATTCCTCTTCCCCACCCATTGGTAAACAGAATGTACACACAAAAAACCCCCAAAATCCCTGGGTATTATTCCTAACCACAAGATCCACCAGTCCCACAAGTCTCCAGGTGCTCTCCCTTCCGCTCCACTGGTAGGACTGCTCTGGGCTGAAACTCTGTGTCCCTGTTAATTAATGATTAATACAAACAGCCAGATAACATATTCCAATATTTGGCTGCTTTCTTGTTTAGCATCCCTTGTGTTTGAAGAGTAAATAAAACCACTACAAACTCCAAGATAGTTAAGGTGGAAAACGCACACCTTGCCCCTTTGTGTTGAATGAATCGATGGTGCTGATGGGAAAATGTGCATTTCTCATGTATTTTAACAGCAGATGCCAGAAAACCACAATTTCAACCTTAAGGAGAAATTCACAGTCGTGTTATTGGTATGATCTGGCTGGTTTTCAAGAGGACTCCAGAATCAAAAAAGATATATAGTAACAAATATATGCTTTAGAAATATGTATTTTAAAAATATTTAATAAAACATTTAATGAAAATGTATCATATATAATAAAGTATGTAACAATATATAACAATATATTAAATAAAATATATGCTGAAATAAAGTTTTGATATATGGTAATCTATTTTACTATATTAAAATATATACTAAGATAATAAAATATTTAATATAAATATAAGAATATATAATGAAAATATAATGAAAATATAATAAGGGTCCCCACCACAAACCCACAGGAATAGGGATATTCCTGGAGTTACAGCCAATAAAGAGGGAATATGGAGACGTGGCACAAAACGGACTGGTCACAGCAGCGAGCTAAATTTATCATTCCTCCTAAGCCTCAAACCCCAGATGTATTTTAAATTCTTCCATAGAAGAATTCCCAGTTCTCCCCACCCGCAAGTCCAGTAGTTAAGTGCTCTATTAGCTTAATCCAACCCCAAATTATAAACACTTCACATCAGATGACGCAACCAGACCCGAGCCTGGTGTCCTATTCTTGGCTGGAAGCACTTAGAAGTGTTGTGTCTTTCACTGTATTCGGCTAAATTTTCAACTACGTTATGTTTAGACCAAAACTATAAATATTTAAGCACAGGGGAAGAAGAGATTTTACTCAGACACGATAAAAACTACTATAAATTGGAAGAATAGCAAGGTAAAGAAAGAGTAAGAATTGACAAGAAATGGTGACATCCCTCAATAAAGACGCTTCCCCAACCACAAGGGGCTCAGTCCTGAGCAAAAGGAACCACCTGGGACCTTCCCTGAGCATTTCCCAGGGGAAGGCCCAGCCAGCCCACCCAGACCCCCCTCACCTCGGTGACCCGAATTCCGCAGGGTTCAGCCCAGAAAGGTGCAGAGTTTCCAGCAGATGCTACAAATGGGCTGCACTGCCACGAAATTACAGCCCTAAAGTAGCTTCTTGTACCAGTTTCTTAGACCTAATTCTAAAATAACCCTGGAATTTCTTTTTTTTTTTTTTTTTTTGGTTCATTAGGAAAATGAGACTCGTCCCTCTGAACTTTTCAGCAAGTTTTGACCTCGACTCTTTACAAAGGACTTTGGAGATGCCCCATGTGAGTTTAATCTGCAGTTATTAGAACACTGAACATTGTGGCACTGACAGGGATAAAAAAAGAGAGACAGAAAGACAGCTCTGCTGCCAAGGACTGGGAAGATTTTTTTTTTTCCCCCTAAGGCTGTTTTCTGGCTGGATCATATCAAAGGCACAAAACAATGTGCTTTCCTCTCGTCTGGAGATAGAGGCTGCAGCTCTGGGCAACAATTCACATGTTTCTCCTCTTCTTTGAGGCAAAATAAACCCCAAAACCAACTCCCAAGCAATTCCCCGGAGAGGCATCAGATAATGTGAAGCAGACCCAGGGTGGGATTTTGAGGAGAAATTTGTAGGATGGTTTCAAAGGAAAACTTTCTCCACAGTGCTTTTCTAATAAAACAGGGGTTTAAAACATGTCAGGATCAAACTGCTCCAGCCCTAAAGCAACTATTTGTTCTCAGCTCAGTTGTCTTCTCGTGAGATGGGAAGTTTCTCAGGTCTTCCCTTTTTCCTTCATCAGTCCCAACGTTTTAGGGGTTAATCTGAGGATGCAGGTGCCCACATATCACCCAGCAGTGTCCAGTGCTGTCACTGAGCAAATTCAGATATTTGACTTGGTTCACACACTTCAAAATAGTCCTCATGGGAACATTTTCCCTCTCCACCTTCTCCACAGGGCTGCCTGAGGTACCCCCAGAAAAAAAAAATAAATCTGAGGACAAATTAAAAAATAAAAAAGGAGGAAAAATCTCTAAAAGAGAAAAAAAAAAAAAAGGGGAGCACAAAAGCTCTTTGTGGAGTGACTGATCCATAACAACTTATGTAGTCCATGCCCTTGAGAGAGCAGGGACCATCCTTGGCAGCTGCCAAACAAACCCCTCAACATCCAGGGCAGCAGTTTGAGGACTGTCCCTTGCAAAGCAGGAGCTGGGGCAGGAATCCCACCTGGGACTCGCAGGGGACGTGGTGGGAAGCAGCAGAGCTGGGAGGCAGAGGCTGAGCTGCAACACCTCATTAATAACCCCAGGCAAGGTCTGGGCTGGCATTTCCAGCAGCTCCACAGGCTGCAGGAGGAGAGGAGAATGTTCACATGTGGAGGACACAGGAGCCACAGACACAACTCCACAACCCCACTGCCACCCCAGGGCAATGAGAGGGGCAGGTCCAGGTCACTCACTCACAGGAGTTGTCACAAACACCTCAGGAACTTGGATTTTTTGGCTGGGGGTTCAGCAATCGCTCCAGTTCTGGTCCCCATTTCAGTGCAGCCCCAGAAAAAGCAGCTTTTGCCACCATCAGTTCTCTTCCAATCTTTTTTCTAAAGAACTGCTGAGGGAGACAGGAGAGAAATAAGTAACCCCAGGGCAAAGGGAACAGGGAACTGCCCTGCATCTGCCAGTCAGGAATGTCCTGGACAGGGGATGGTTGCAGAAGGAGCAGCTGCAGTGAGGTGAGGCCAACAGAGGCTGAAGGGCACTGGGACTGACACTGTAGAGCAGGAGATCAATTTAACTGTCATTTTGGGGTTTTTTTAACCATTTTACCACCTATCCCAAGCACATACACTTATTTAGTGTCCCAAATTAAGGAGGCAGAAAAAAGATGCTTCAACGCTCCACAAACACAAGAGAAGCCACAGTCCTGCTGAAGTGCCAGACAGGAGGAAGGAAGGTGGGTTGTTTTCCAAACCCTGAACACCAGCAGTGCCCCAAAGCTGCCCCTGTGGCATTCCCAGGGGAGGGTTTCCTTGGCCATGAGTCAGTCCCCAGCACTCTGACAGGACTGACTGACTTCCACTGCTCCTCCCAAAAGTCCAAACACCTAAAAGGGAAGGGGGGAAAGTTGGGGACAGAAGAAAGGAGATAAAAAGTGCCTTTTTATCTGTTAAAATGCAGAGGTACCAGAAGGAAGGACTGTCCTCTCCATGCAGACACAAGGTAGGGTCTTACTCGGGTCTCAAGACCACTCAGCAGCTTAAGCTGGACCTTCCACACAGGAACTGAGGGCAAGAGAGGGCAGAGGGAACGAAGCAGGCACTGAAGGGCACAAGAGGGCCAGCAAGACATTTTAGAGGGAAGTGGGAAGGGGTTTCTCCTCCAGGGGGTGGCAAAAAATAGAAGATTGTGTGGGATCAGGCAGCACCACCCAGGGTTTTCCCTGCCAGGTCAGCATGTGAGGGCACACTCAGCTGGAAGGTGCAGAGGGACACTGAGCCCAAAGACTCCAATTCCTCCTTCTGGCAACCTGGAGTTCACAAACACAAACTCTGTCACTGCCACGGGCATGAATTCATTTGATGAGTGACCTGGTCACAAGAGCAACAGCAAGAGAATGGGCAAAACAGGCCTAAACCTACAAGAATTCGATTTATGGAGTGGATCTGGGACCACTTTGGTTCTCTGGATGTAGAAGACAAACCTTTAATAATCACCTTACTAAAAGCACGTATCAGGAAGCGCTGGGAAATCTCTGCCACTCCTGAAGGTGCCCCTTCCCTTCAGCTCAGAGCTGTGATTTCAGTCAGGTTGCAGCTCAGAGCTGCCATTCAGCTGGTGGATATCACCATTCACCAGTAACTGCCACAACCCTAGCAAAAAAAATGGGATTTTATCCTAATTTAAGAGAATCTGGGCTTCAGAATTGACCTGGGGAACGAGAAAGAAGCGGTGCCACTGCCACTGGGTAAAATCCTAGGAAGAACGAAAAAATAAACCCAGGCTCATCATTTAGGACTTGCCCAAGTTCCCCCCACATTTATGGCTGCCCACAACCCTTCCCAAGAAGATCAAGCATCCCAAGTTTTATTGAAAGGTGAGACAGAAGTTCAGGGGGAATTCATACTCCCAGAACTGAAGTCTGAGGCCCTCCAAGCTTCCTCTTGCAACGCCTCTGATCCTTCTTGGGGATCTTAAGGCAGCAAAACAAGGGTTAAATGAAGTTATGTTGGCTACAAAACAGTTAGTGCTATTCTACATCAGGCTTTGGAATGATCTGTGTTAAAAGCCACCAAACACTGATTTATTTTTCTACAGATCTCAAGCACATCAACCCCACTGAGCACACTCCCCTCCTGTGTCCACACTCCACATGTACCTTGATTTTTAACTGTTATTCCTTAGACATTTGCATCACTGAACACAAGGAGTGGCTTGGGAAGTGGACAAACCAGGATTAAAAACTAGCAGAACAACAGTTCCCAAGCAGTTCCTGAGCCTTCCTTTACACCATCTACTTCTTTCCTGCCCTTCTCCTGCCAGAGGTGCTGAGTTTTCTTCAGGATCTCATTTCCAGCACCAGAAAGAAGCAATTCTGGGGTGGAAATCGCCAGTGTTACAGCTCTGGAACGGGGGAACTGCAGGAATCAGGATGTGCAAAGAGAGCAAGAACTTCCCTCGTTACAAAACAGGTATGAAAGATTGGAAAAAAGAAACACACACACACATAAGCTGAATTAACAACTTATTCTTAGTGGTGTAATAGGGTTTTTTTAAGAGGAGTCAGTCACTTTGGAGAGGTTTTACAACAATGGAGAGCAGTAATGGTATTTCAGCACAACTCTGCTTTTTCAGGAGTTCAAGGACAGACAACCTGAAGTTTCTGAGCATCTCCCTGTTCACACACACACACCAAATCCACAGGCACACACAGACACAGCCAGCACTCCAGGAAGGACACACAGCCCACGAGGAAAAGCACACTGCTGAGGTAACAGGGCAAGGAGAAGCTGCATCCCAAACCCCACCATTCCTGGCCCCTGGAGAGGGACTGTATTCCCCCTGAATCCTGCCAGATCCAGCACTCCTGTGAGTGGCAGAGGGAAGCAAGGAATCCTCTTTTACACCCTCACACCGCAGGCTGCAAACCAAGAGGCTCCTGAGTCCCTTATTCTGGCCAGAAACTCAGCTTGGCCCACTTTCCAAACTCACCTCGAGAAAAAGCCTCTGCTGTAAACTCAAACCAGGCTTAAACTTAAACCAGGCTTAAACTATTCTGTAGAAGAGATTAATCCTCCACCTCCTCCCGTGCCCACGTCAGGCACGTCTCCCACACCTGGCAAAAACCTCAGGCTTGAACATGGTCCCGTTTCAAGACTGACAATGGCAAACATCAGGCAGGAGGGGATGGTTCTCAAGTGCTGTCTGCCTCACACCACCCAAATTCCAGGTTTTCCTATGGAATGCTTAAGGCTGACAACAAAAAGCTGCCTCCTCCAGAGGCAGTCAGCACCGCATCTTGTGGTTTTCCAGGCTTGTCTTTCAGTCCCAAGCCTTTGGTCTTCCTTCCAGCACCACTGGATCCTTCCCTGTCAGTGAAGAGCCTCTAAAAATGTCCGTGGAATTAGAGGAAAACTTTTGTGTAATTTTAACCTGCTCAGCAGGGAAGGGGGGCGGGCAAAATTCCACTGGAACAACAGGTGGGTTCACCAGAAAGGAAAGAAAACAAACCCAGCATCTTCCTGCTTCCTTCTCCCCCCTCCCTCCTGCCAACTAAGACATCAAAAGCCCAACTGCTGCTGCTGCTGCCCACACAGCAATTAAGTGTAACAGTCAAGATGTCAAGCAACACCAGTGCCCAGTTACTTTGGCTTTCCTGAAATAGCTGCCAATCTCCAGGTAGGGAATTTCTGAGACGTGGCAACCCACTCCAAAGGCAACAAACAGATGCTGAAGGCAAGTTCTGCTGGGTGAACAGGCCCGTGAAAATGAGATTATTGTTCATTTGTGTTACCTGGGGGTGTCCAAGGCCAGGCTGGACAGGGCTTGGAACGAGATGGGCTTTAAGGTGCCTTCCAACCCAACCCATTCTGGAATTGCAGAGGTGGGTGGATGTGTCTCCCAGTCCAGGTATTTGCAGAAATAAGGTAATTTAATTAGGTTTTAGATTATATACCACATTATGCTTTTATCCTTTGCTCCAGGTGAAGTGATGTAATGTATAGATATAACAGTGCTAATAAAATATTGATTAGCTTCCTCCCTTTCAGTGAAATGCTCTGAAATAGGAACTATTTCCCAACTGTCCATTCAGTTCAGTTCCAGTTCCAAAGCTGATTTGAAGAGGGGTGTCCCTGGGCTCTGCTCTGGTTGACAAGGTGGTCATCAAAGGTTGGACTTGACCATCTTTAGGAGTTTTTGCAACCTAAGCTGGGATTCTGGGATTCCCAGCTTGGCAGAGATGGGCACATCCCCCATGCTGGGCCTGTCCTGGGGTCCCAGGATTCCCAATTCCCGTGGAGGGTCTGGCATTGCTGCCCTGCAGTCACTCAGGAAAACAGCTCCAGAGCAACAGGGAGCCATTTCCAGCTCTTCCTTCCTTCCCTTTCCCCCCCAGCTTCCTTCCCTGGGCTCTCAAAGGAGTTTCAGGAGGAAGGAAAAGAACTCTGAAGAACTCTGCTCTCTCCAGCAACTGCTCATTCACCAGTGGGTCACTGCCCTTCCCTGCTGAGGGTCCTGCTCTGCCAGAGACAACTGCTGGGAGAAAATCAGGAACAACTGGAAACTCATCTTCTGGGATGAACAGGGAAGTTCAGCTGTGTCTTCCCCACCACTGCTTTGGCTCAGGCTCCTGGGGGCAGGGAAGGTGCTGTTTGCAGACACCACCCACAAGGGCTCAGTGATCCCTGGGGTCCCTTCCAGCTCGGCACATTCTGTGACCCTGTGACTGATAACAGCAGAAAACAGGAGTAAAACCTGCCCTCAACCCCCCCAGCTCACCTTGTTATTGGCTATCTGAACATTCAAGTGGAGAAAGCAACACACGTGGGGAAAATTCACCATTTCCAGCCCAAGCTCCTGTCACTTCACTGACTTCAAAGCCTCCTTTTCCCAAAGCATCTCCTCCAGATCCTCTCACACACAAACCAAGTCCCTCCCTCTTCAACTCCGGGGCTACCACAGAGTACCGGGGTTGTTTATTTATTTATTTCGGGGGCGCTTTTAGGCTTCCTTATTATTGTTTTCCCAAGAGGGGAAACTGATGGTGATGAAAGATTCCAATATTTACAAACATGTTGCTTCTACTTCAAGTCTGTCACCTCTCCAACCAGGGCAGAGAAGGGCTGCTCAGCCCTCAGCTCAGCACAAAGTCAGGGGGGTTTGTGGAAAGGACAACCAGTGACAGAGCTGCAAACTGAAAGTTTTCCCCTCCTGTCCCCCCACCAAGCCCAAAGTGTTGCGTTTTTAAGGCAAATAAAGAGGCTTTGAGGAGTCAAGACGTGAGGAGACACAGGAGCATCAGGCAGGACCGAGGGGTTGTGCTGGTCAGCAAAAGGGTTTAAAGCAATAAAAAGGGATTTATTCTGCCCAGATCTACGAGAATACCAAGGCAACTATTAAAAAAAAAACCAAACAAACAGCTGTGGGTGGGGAAAACCCCAGAGAAGCCCCGAATGTGCCACGGCAAAGAGGCAGGAAGGTCTGGAAGGCTGAGGTTTGCACCCGAGGAGCTCAGAGCAGTTAAGGCCAAGCCAGGAAAGCCCAGTGGCAAAGGTCTGCTGGTTTTTTGGGAGGCAGGGGAGCTGTCACAGGTGAGGAAGGACATCACAGACACCAAGAGAAGAGCCAGCACTTGCTCAGACTGAAGTAGCAGCAGAACAGGGAACACCTGCCCGGGTGCTCCACCAGGAAGGGGTGAAAAAGCAATGTATTATTCAGGATTGTGTATGACCCCTCCAACTTTTACAGTGGGAATTCTGTAGTCAATCCACTATTTCAGACTGCTTTAATAGCCCCCTGTTTTGACTACTTTAAGTTAGTATTACAGTCAGGATCAGAGGGACCATTAGAGCAACCCCCCTGCCAGGATTCAGCAGCACCATGTGGCACAAAACCACTAGAGAAATGTTTTTCCAAGCGTTCTCATGCCACAAGAAAGGCAGGAGCAGCAAAGTACTGGAACACACACACCAAAAAAAAAAAAAAAAATCACCCAGATCTGGTGTGCTGTCAACAGCACAAAAATAGCAGCACCTAGAGACAGACTCCACTACTCATACCAAGGGTAGGTTAAAAACAGCACACCTGAAACCCAAACTTCAAGGTTTTAACACATCCCAGAGCTAAAAAAAAAAAAAAAAAAAATTAAAAAAAATCTGAAGGTGCATCTATGTGGAAAGAACATGCTGGAGAGTCAAACTTCAAAGAGGCAAAGGTTGCAGATGTTAAATCCCGAGCGCATCGATGCCCATTAGAAGCATCTTAGAGCTAAAAGCCCATCCTGCATCTCCGTGCCCAGATCCTGGAAGCCAAAGGTCCTTTCCAGCAGAGAGCACTCCACGGCATCCTTCCAGAGAAGTCAGTTTATTCCTGCCTCAGTATTATGTCAGATTTGCTACGCTTGCTTTCTGCCCCGCATTTCGAGTGCCTGCACGGCTTAAAGCATCTCCCACACGAGCGGCACGGCTATAAAAGCATCTCTGGCTTATCCAGTGATGGGGAAGGAAAAAAAAAAAGAAAAAAAATAGGGAAGAGAAAATTACATGTCGACAGCCAAGCCAAAAAGCAGCGTGTTTTTTTTTTTTTTCCGGAGTGAAGGCTGCTCTGAGGTGGTGCAGCAATGTCACCCGCGTTTGAAATTGCTGCCGGGTTTCTCCACTAGAGGACTCAGGTGAGATGTTTCTACTACGGCTTCTGCAGTTAAACCACGGGGTAAAGAAAAAAAAAAAAAAAAAAAAAAAAGGGAAAAAAAAAAAAAGCCAAGCCAACGCTGACATGTGGCTGGTCCATGTAAAATGAATGGAAATGTACTAGTGCATGCGGCACATCCAGACGTGCTCCCAGAACTCCCAGAGAAACACGGGGATGATGGTGAGCTCCCGCTGCTCCACGGCAAATCTACGTGTTTGTTACAAGTGAAGGTTAAATCCAAGACTATGTCTCCACGCTGGGCTGGATCAGAGGGTTCCAGCCTAACACAAGCGCTACATTCCAACACCAGCACTGCACATTAAGCTGGAAAGTAGCAGATAAACAAAGGCTATAGAAGGTGCTAGAGAAGGGCCGGTATCAGTTCTGATTTCCCAAATAACCCCCCCACCATCCACGCAGAGGTGTTCCTAATTTTTTATTATTATTATTTTTACACACATGCACACACCACCACCCCCCAACCTCCCCCACCTATTGACTCAGCCCTTGTAAAACAGCAAGAGCACCTTCACCAAGCTCCCACCGCGGCTTTTATCGCCGCTCTGCCAAAAACCAGCGCCAACGGTCGGTGGCAAGAGCAGCCAGCCCTGCCACGGGCGATACGGCGCCGTATCGGCCCCGCTCAACCGGTGTCGGCAACGGCAGGAGGAAAAAAATCCATCCCTGCTGCTCGCCTGGCGTGGAACCCCGGCACGGGGGGCTGGGGGGAGCAGCTCCCCCGGGGGGGGATCACCCCCAGGGCCTCCCCAGGGCGAGGGGAGCGGGCGGGGGGTGCTGCGGCCCCACGGGCAGGTGCGGGGCGGGGGGGATGGAGGAGCCCTGCGCAGGGACAGGGGATGGATGCGGAGGGGGAGCGGCAAGGGCCGAGTTCACCTGCACCACGCGGGGAGGGCGGGGGGGGAAAGGAGGCAGAAACGCATCCGTGTCGCTGAGCCAGGGATCTCCTTACCTGCGGACCGGAGGGAGAGGAGCGGGGGGAGGAAAGGGGACTGCGGCTCTCGGGGAGCAACTCAGCGAACTCCGCAAGGGCGCGGGGAGGGAAGGGGAAATGAGGAAGCGGGGCGAGGGCACGGAGAGACACGCGGGGAGCCCGGGGAGCGCTGCGACAGCGCCGGGGCAGGGCGGTTGGGGCCGGCCGGGCCACGCGGGGCGGCGGGGACAGCGCGGGCACACCGGGGGGACATCGGGGGCACACCGGGGGGGTCTGCCAGGTCCCACCTGCCTCCCCTCCCTTCCTCCCGTCTCCTCTCCCTCACTCACCCTCTGCATGGCTTTCAGGATCAAAGCCAGTTCATAGCGGGGCATCTTAGAGCCGCTGGCGGCGGGAGGAGCGGGGGCACGGGGCGGGGAGGAGGGGGTCAGTGGCGCTGCCGGGCAGTAGGAGGAGGAGAGGGAGGAGGGGAGAGGAGGAGGAAGGCGCGTCCCGGGCTCCTTCCCGCGCGGTCGGTCGCTGCACAGACACTCCGGGCGGGCAGGCGCGGCTTAGCGGGCGCCGGCGCTGCGCAGGCTCGGCCCAGCCCGCGCCAAGCGCCGCCCCCGCCCCGCCGGCCCCGGGGCCCGGGGCTGCCCTGCGTCCCGGGCGGGGGTGCGGGCACCGACCCCGGGCTGGGCCCCGCCGCCCTCCCTGCGGGGCCCGGGGCCAGCGCCCGCCCGCCGCGCCCGCCGCCGCCGCCGCAGGGAGTGGAAATTTCCACGGCGCCTCGCCCCCGAGCCCCCTCCCACAGCCCCGGCCCGCCGGAGAGCGGGGGGCGGCCGGGGGCTGCGCGGGGCCCGTGAGGGGCGGGGGCTGGGCCGGGCCGGGGGCGGCACCGCCGGACCCGCCGCGGAGTCACCGCAAAGCCGGGGGTCGGGGGACCGGGACCATCCCCCTCGACAGCCCCTGACAGCCCCCCTGACAGCCCCTGACAGCCCCTGCACCCCTGACAGCCCCCTCATAGCCCCCTGACAGCCCCTGATAGCCCCCTCATAGCCCCCTGACAGCCCCCGGGCTCGGACACCTCTCGCCACGCCGGGGTGCGCCGAGCCCGGTCTAACCGGGGGTCTTCCAGAACCTTCCCCGCCCTCGGGGCGCCTCAGTGCACACCCCGCCAAACCACCCGTGGGGTGGAGGTCCCTGAGCCTGTGGAGTCTCAAGAGTTGGGAAAGACCCACAAGGATCATCAGGTCCGACTCCTGGTGCTGCACGGGACACCCCAAAATCCCCCCCTGTCCCTCAGAGCGTTGCCCAAACGCTCCTGGGGCTGTGGCAGCCTCGGGGCCGTGCCCGCTGCCCTGGGGAGCCCGGGCAGTGCCCACCCCCGCCCGGCTCCGCTGTGGGGGCCGCACCCGAGGGGCAGCGGGGTCACGGTGAAGCTGCCAGGTTGGCCTTGGGGCCGGGTCCTCCCTGTGAGGGAGGTTCTGGACGAACCCTTCCCAGCTGGGCACACTCCCTTGGCATTGTACTCAGGCACAGACAGACACCAAGGTCAGTGACAGATCCCCTCCGTCAGCAGCACATCCGACACCAGCTGAGGCTGGGCTGGAAGCTACAACCACCTGCACCCACCAGAGGAGGTGTCTGGGGGGGCATCAGGCTTGTTTCTACACTTTTTGTTTCATCTGCACGGACTTGTCCCTCACACGGGTACCCCCGTGTGCCCAACACAGTCTGGCTTTGAGGACGGACAAGTTTCTGCCCAGGGTGTTGAAGCCCTCATTGCTTGGAAGTCCTCAGAAAAGAGGGACGAGGGAGCAGAGCCACCACAATGTGGCCAAGGGGAAGCAGAGAAGGCAGCAGAACTCAACATTAGAAAACTTCAATGAACTATCTGAAATCCCAACCCCAGCCTATCCAGAGAGGCCTCACATCTCACCTGGCAACGCCACCCGTGCCCTTCCCATACCCAGGGTCGCTTGTTTCTGCTCTGCCTGCCCGTCAGTGGTACCACAGTCCCTGAAACAAATCCCCAGGGCAGGTTTTGCAAGTGGAAAACTTCTCCCAGCCCTTTCCACGGTGAGTGGCGGCACGGCCAGCCCTGGCACTGCAGCGGGCCCTCCTGCCCTGGAGCAGCTGTGAGCTCGCAGCACTTCCCAACACATCCCGTGCCCTGCAGGCACGACAAGGCCTGTGGGAGTCCCGGGAGCTGTTCTGAGTTCTGCTGCCAGATAAATTACCTGGGTGGAAGCGGTTCCAGGTATTCCCAGGCTCCCACCCCCCGCTGTTCGGGCAGTAATTGCCAGGCAGCTGACAGGGATAATTTACTGCCTCGTGGTGCTCGCCGCAGAGCGAGCCCTCCCTGGGTTTATTTTGCTTCCTTTTTTTAAAGCCAGCGCCTGGCCTGAGCTTCTTCCTTGTTCTGAACAGGGGCCTGGCGAGTTCCTGCTGAGGAAATCCAGGTGGTGGTCCCCAGTGGAGGTGGGAATGGCCAGGTATCCCAGCCATTCCCACCCTCCAGGTGCACCTTGCCACACCTGAGCCACGCTGTTCTCTTTGTCATCTTTGGAGCTGTGTCCTGGGCCAGGAAGGATTGGGGAGAGCTCCAACTTCCACTTCTGCCAATGCTCTACCTCCTTAAAACACTCCACTGCCACGAGAAAAGGGAACACATCCAATCCCTGTTCCTGAAGTCCTCTCTCTCACAGAACTTTATGCAAATCCCTCGGTCTATATATTGAAATCTCCAGTGCTGCTTTCAAATGCCAGTATTTGATTCTCAGTGGGATGTACATTTATATTCCCTGTTCATCCTCCCTTCTGACTCCGTTCCACTTGCAAGCCCCATAAATGCACAGCTGCATGTGGCCAACAAACCCCCACTTTTTGGGAATCCCACCCACAGCTTTACCTCAACACTGTGTCCCAAGACCCCAAAAACATAAAACTGAGCCCGAGTCTCACTTCTGTCCGTGATGGGACTTGCTCACTCACAAACATTCCTGAGATCTGATAAACCCACTGGTTTAATGGGTTTATTTATACATTAATACATATATTATTGTATTTATCATGATATTAGTGATTATATTAATGTTATTGATAATAATGTATTGACAATAATGAGTATTTTTTTAATTTCTATTATATTCTATTGGTTGCAGTGGGGAAACCCAGCTGGATGTTCTGATGTATGTTCCTGGAATGAGATCTGTGTGCCTGAGGGTCTCTTGTGCAGATCATCAGCACAGGTACCGTGGCTGCACCTGCCTGTGTGTGAATGTCACACACACGTGGCCCTGGAGGTCCCTCAGCAGGTGTAAGCTCCCTTGAGTCTCACAAGTTTCTTTTTCCTCAAAAAAAAAAAACCTAACCACAAGCATCCAAAGACTGTAGGAAACCCTCATTTAATATTTAAATGTCAAGGGTTAGAGAGGAAGGTCTGAACAACATGTAGTGGCCATGCCCTGAATGCTCAGTAAGGAAAGATAAACTCCCCTAATATAGATTTATTTCCTTTATTAAGCAACAAGTGTAAACTTTTGACTTGCAAGGCTCATGCCGTGACTTTTTCACGCTGGAATTTGGGCAGACAGTCCTCTCTGCCCCTTGGTGTCTTTCCCATCCATCCCTGTGCCAGAGAGCAGCACAGAGAGTGTGAATGAAGAATGTCACCCTCTCTAATAAAGCACGAGATTAAAATATGTCCTCATGCATCCTGTTTGCTATGGAAATACAGAATCTGTTCTTTGATAAAGCTGCTGGAAATGTTTTAGGGTTGGAGCTGGGGGGAAGGGGGGTCGAGCTCTGCTCCCAGCGAACAAGGGACAGGAGGAGAGTAAAAAAATCCCATGGGGGGATCCATGGGCTGGGAGGGCTTTTCCAGCCTCAGGGATCCTGGGATTCTGTAAAAAGATGTGATGCAACATCTCAGAGACTCCTGACAAAGAAGCTGGCCCAGCACAGCAGGGTTAAGAGGGGAAATGAAGGGAAGAAAATGGCACTTTTAAACCCTGAAAATGCCCATCAAGAGCCTCTCTCACCACAACTGCTTTGCAACAGGTCCTGTGTGTGCCACAGAAAAGCCACTAAAAACTTAACTTTCTATCTACAACACATTGCTCACGATCAAAATAAAGTCAACATTTATCACCCTTTTAGGACTGGGGTGTTGCTTATCTAGAACTTCAGATCAGGAGGGATTTTTAGAAGTGTCAGAAAAGGGGGATTGCTCATGGAAAGGGAAATCACCCTGCTAGGTGAGGTTTGTTTGTAGCCTCTGGACAGGGGGATAGATACAGGCACAGGCCTGTTCTCCCTGGTGTTTGCCCACCTTCTCCATGAGGTTTGTCCCTGCAAACCACACGTTTCAGGTGACAGAAGGTGACCCAGGGGGGACAAATCCTGCATGGGAACAGCCCTGGCAGGGACTCTCCAAAGAGGGGTGGGTGGAGCTGGCTCAGAACACAACTCAGAGCTCACCTGGTCCCCAGTGAGCGAAGCTGAAGCGAGGGAGGAGCAGTAATTGATGTTTTAACCTTGTTCCCAGGGCTCCTGAAATCAGTCTGGGACACCTGGGCAGGGATAGGCCTGGAGGAAGGAGTGGAAGGAACCAGAGCTGAGAAAGGAAGGAAAAGTGGGAGCGTTGGGCTAAAGTGTGGGCAAGGAGACCAGAGCAGGGACCAGAGGGGGGGAGTGTGGAGGAGGCTGGGATGTGGTGCTTTAAACTAGGACTGGGATCTAAATGAGAGGGTGAAAAAGAGAGGGAAAGGGGAAAGGGAGAGGTAAGAATGGATGGAGAAAGACTGGGAGAGAGGAAGGGTAGACTTGAAGATTAGGACAGGGAAAGATGGGTCATGGGAAGGTGAGTGGGTTGTGCTAAAAAAGGACAGGAATGTGTGTCATTCAGTGTGTATCCCTGAAGGCCACCAAGAGGATCCCAGGGCTGGAGCATGGGATGATGCTGGGAGGAAAGGCTGGCACAGCTGGGATTGTTCAGCTGGACAAGAGAAGCTTTGGGGGGACCTGAGTGTGGCCTTGCAGGGCCTGAAGGAGCTCCAGGAACAGATGGAGAGAGACTATTTCCAAGGGCTAGAGGGACAGGACAAGGGGAATGGCTCAAAGGCCGGGTTAGATGGGATATTGGGAAGGAATTCCTGGCTGGGAGGGTGGGCAGGCCCTGGCACAGGTTGCCCAGAGAAGCTGTGGCTGCCCCTGGATCCCTGGGAGTGTCCCAGGCCAGGTTGGACGGGGCTTGGAGCACCCTGGGCTGGTGGAAGGTGTCCTGCCCATGGCAGGGAGTGGAACTGGATGATCTTTAAGGTTCCTTCCAACCCAAACCATTCCATGATTCCATGATCTTTTTTGTAGGCTCTCTTCAGGCACTGCCTTTAGGTGACCCCAAAGCTTCTCTTGTCCAGCTGAACAATCCCAGCTGTGCCAGCCTTTCCTCCCAGCAGAGCTGCTCCAGCCCTGGGATCCTCCTGGTGCCTCCTCTGGGCTCTCTCCAGCAGCTCCCTGTCCATCTGCAACAATAGGATGCTGCGGAAGGAGTTTGGATTCTTTTTACAGTTTACTTTTGAAAAAGCTGGAGA